TCACGCAGCTAAAAAAAAAAAAAAGACAAAAAGGGGTGCTTCAGAAAGGGGCTGGTTATTAGCAGCTGTCAGTGGTGGATTTCATACTGGCATGTTGGGGTGGTAAGACTGGGATGAGAGGTGCAAAAGGAAAGTTAAGGTTGACATCCTTCTTTAATGCTCCTGCCACAAACAGCCAAATTTCTGTGTCATTATCCTGAGTGACGCATAGGATAAGCCATTGTGAGGGGTGGCAGGATGGGATGTGAAATTGTGATGATGTGCTGGTTCGCAAGCACTTTCCTCGTTGTGTTGTCTTTGGGCCAGCCCTGGACCTGGGTGTTTTGCCGAGACTTGGGCTCTGGGAATAGAGGAGGGGCTCCCCCGAGTCTTGGATTTTGGCAGCGCAAGCAGCTTTCCTGTAGCTGCCTGTCACAGGTAAAAGCAGCTTTGCTCACTTCCAGCTGATGCCCTTTGGCCTTGGTCCCGACTTGTGCTGTGCAGAAGGGGGTTACCTCCCGCCCGGGACTGACCCTGCGTGATGCCGTAGGGATGCCGTGGATCCTCACGGCTGCCCCGGTGCCATTGTGTTCAGCATCACACTTCTTGTTCTCTTTTGTAGGATGCCAAAAAGAAATACGACAAGGAGACGGAGAAGTATTGTGGTGTCCTAGAAAAGCACTTAAACTTGTCTTCTAAGAAAAAAGAATCCCAGCTTCAGGAGGTGAGAGCAACCTCTGGTTTCCCATATCTAGCAATAACTGTGGTGAGCTTTTTGAAAGCTTTACGCAGCTTATAGCATTGGTTTTCCTGGCTGTAAAATCGGAGAGATCCCAAAATGGATAGCAATCAAAAACGAGAGAGAGTTTATAATTAAAGAGTGCAACAGAAAGGAACTGGTTCTGCTGCAGGCTTCCCTTGTGCCAGCACAAATCATGGATGTCTAGTTCCCTTCTCTGAAAGTGGCTCCACTGGCTTTGGGCTTCATGGGAGGAGCGATCAGGCTTAGTGCTTTTAAACTGCTTTAGGAGCCTATTACTGACTCGGGACGTAGTTAGCTGCTGTGCCAAATGCTCTTACTGGATGAGTACGATGAGTTTTCAATCACTTCTTCCAAGTTTGGAATTCCCTGCACTGGCCCAGAGCTGGGCTGGTCCCTGCTGGATGCATTTCCTTGCTTTTGGGCATGATGCTGGTGTGTCGCTGAGCTGTTTCTGGGGGAAGTGGTGGGCGCAGGTGGTGGCTCCTGCACTGGGATAGCTCAGGCGGTGTTACGGTGCCCAGCAAAGTTGGGGACTCAAGAGAGCAGATACATCTGTGGTACAAATAATCATCTTCCACCAAATCAGGGTTGAAGAGGGGTAAGAATCAGGATTGACATGCCTATGAAGCAGCTTTGTCCTTGGATAGGTGTTCTGGATTTGTAGATAACTTACCATGTGGAAGCACCCATATGTCCCAGAAGATGGAGAGTCCCATTCTCATGGCTTTTAAATAACCCTTTAAACCTCTGTTTTTGTTCATGTTTGAAATACTATTGTGAGACACAGGTGTGAAAGGATTTCTTTCTGGGGAGGGAAGGAGCCACTTGTGGCTGTCAGGTTACAGCAGTGACTTTTAGAGGTGTGATCCCATGCCCTGGCCAGAGTATGGCCCTGTGGGGCTGCCCCGGAGCCCAGAGCAGCAGGGAGGTGGGATGCTGTGTGAGATGCAGGTGGTGGCTGCATGCAGGATGCGGTGCGGGATGCAGGCAGCGGCTGTGTGTGCAATGCTGTGCGGGATGCGGCTGCTGGTGCATGTTGAGCAGCGCTGGCTGCTGGTGCCATCTGCTGGCATTTTCCACCCCAAACTTTGACTTTGGCTTTTGCTGCGAAGGCAGGAGGAGGCTGGAGCCAGCCGGAGCCAGCTCCCAAGTTCAGGTGTTGGGGATTTTTCCCCTGGGGCTCTAGGAAGCATACACTGGTTTTGGTGGCTCAAGCCCCACCGAGGAGGGGGTGCCTTTGAAAGAGCAGTCCAGCATGTAGGTTGTGAAACGTGGATGTGGCATCCAGCGGCACGTGGGAGTGCTCGCCCTGTTCGGCACCTCCCTTGGGGCTGCCCGCCGTGGTCCCTGCCTGCCAAGGGGCTTTCCGGGCAGGGGGCTGCAGCCACAGCAGAAGTGCGTGGGATGGTAGCGTTTTAGGAAAGTTAACACCACCCGTTTATGAGGAGTCTGAAGCTTCACTAGATGCCCTGATGTCCTAAGAGAAGAGCATTTGTGTTTGGGAGATTTGGTGTTTTATATTGCCTAACCTCCTCTTGCTGTCTACATCTGGATGGTGATAGCGGCCACATGTGCAACTGCTGCGGCGAGGCGGGGAGAGGAGGAAACCATGGGAATTCTCTGCTGCTTTGGCTGTTGACCAATTAAATAACACAGAGACTCTAATCTGCCATTTAACTCCTGGCAAACTTATTTGATTGCATCATATTTTCTGCTTTTCAGAACTCAGTTTGCTGAATACCTCAGCCTGCGCACTGTGGGCACACAGCACAAATGCTGGTGGCAGCTCATGGGGAAAATGGGCCATTTCACAGCTGTGTCGCAGACAAAATCAGGAGTAAGCTGCTGTCCAAATGCAAGCGGCTATTTGCCAGCTGGGTTTTGCAGAGTGCAGGAGCGGCCGTATTTTGAGCCCTGACGGGATGTATGGTACAGCGTATGCTCCTCCCTGGAGGTCTGGCTCTGCCCCAGGCACAGCGAGGGTCACACTAGCGAGCGCACCCAGTTGTCCTCAGCTGGGACAGAGGAATTTGCCTCCTGTTGAGCAATGACTCGGTGACGGTTTGTGCTGGGAGTGAGGCTCTTCGACCAGCTGAGTTTACTGGCGCTGAGGTCAGAGGGATGGTGGGTCACCCAGACCGACCTCCCCGTGGGCACCACTGGCATCGGTGACCCCCAGGTTGCTCTACGCAAAGCGCCACTTGCAAACATAGCAGCAATGTGTGCCGGGGACGGCAGCCCGGGGATACCTATGTCCCTCACCCCGCTTTCAGTGCAGCAGCTCTGCTCCGCGTGCGTGGCAAGGTTATTTTTACACACTGGGATTGGGGCATATCCCTATTTTTGCTCACTTGGGCTTTACCTGCAAAGCAGAGGGGATTTGCTGTCTGCTGATCCACCGAAGTGACACGCTCGCTGGAGAGGGTGGTGGGGCGCGTGTACTGCCCGGTTTGGCCCTGGGACGCTCTGTGCAATCTCCCGTTGTGGTGCTTTCCAGACAGCGGAGAATTGCCTTTTATTGTCAAGTATGCAGCAACTTCTCATTTTTCTTGCTTCTAATGCATGCTTTTCGACACAGCTGTCAGGGAGGTGAGAACATGAGTCATCAAAAACATTTTTTTTTCAGCTGAAGAAAGAGCCTGTTCATGTGAATCAGGTTTATATTTAATTGCTGTGCCATCTGTCCAGTCCTGGACTGGGGTCTGACGCTGAATTTGTTCTGCACGGACACATTCTCATTAGACCCAGATGTTCTCTAGTCGCAAGGCCAAGCGCTCCCGGTCAGTAGTGACTTTGTATTTCCTCTTCAATCTCCCTGGCGCTTGCAGGCAGACAGCCAGGTGGACCTGGTTCGGCAGCATTTCTACGAAGTCTCCCTGGAGTATGTCTTCAAGGTGCAAGAGGTCCAGGAGAGGAAGATGTTTGAGTTCGTGGAACCTGTAAGTGAGCGCTCAAGCCGCCTCAGCCTGCAAAAAATGGGGGGGCAGAGGCTTGCGGGGAGTGGGGCGGCGGCGCGGGGCATCCCTGCAGTGGGATGGCTGGGGGGCTCCAGCCTCACC